CCCCCGGGGACCTGCCATGGCACGGGGTGGGTGGCGAGGGCTGCCCGGTCCCATCCTGGCCCTTGTGCAGACATTTCCAGCCCCGTCAGCCTGCGGGGCCGGCGGCGGCGCTGCCATCGGTGCCGTGATGGGGGCAGGATGTGGTGCCCCTGGCCCCGCCCCCCCCCCCCAGAGAGATGGGGTGCCCTGGCCACAGGCCCCCCGGTTGCCCCCAGGTCCTGCTCTGGCTGGCTTGGGGGTGTCGTGGTGGGGGTACCATCCCTCCATTCCCACTCCATGGTGCTGCTGCTACTGGTTTGAACTGGGAGGGCTCTCCCCCTGCCCCTCAACCCATCGATGGGTTCCCCCTCTTCTCCTTCAGGCTCTCGGGGTGCCGGGGTGCCAGGGCAAGGCAAGCAGTGTTCCCCCCCCCCTCCCGGCGCAGACCGTGCCAGGAGAGGCAGCGGTGCCCCCCACATCCTCACTGGGCATCGCCCATCCCTGCGCGGGGAGGCTTGGGCTGGGGCCAGGGGACACACAGCTGAGCCCTGACCCCGGCCCCCCCGGCCCAGCCTGGAAGGGGGAGGCCAGGGAGGACCCCCCCTTTGGGCCGCGGCCAGCCCGCGCCGGAGGAAAAGGCTCCTGGGCCGGGAGACCTAAGGAATCTCTGGCTTTTCCTGGCCTGGCCGCCTGCCCGCGGGCAGGTGGGGGCTGCCGGGCTCCGCCACCTTCCCCGGGCGCTGTACGTGCCATGGCAGCTCCTCGGCACGGCCGGGCCCTGGCACCGCGCGGGGAGGCAGAGGCACCACCGGAGCAGCATCTCCAGCGGCTGCTGCAGGAGCTGCCGGGGGGTCTGGAGGTGCCCGGAGCCGGGGGGGGGATGGCGAGTGTGAACAGGCGGCCCCCACCCCGGGGTGCTGCCCCCCAGCACGGGGAGGATGGGGCGCTCTGCCGGGTCCCGGCTCGCGGGGCGGGGAAGCAGGATGCGGGGAAGCAGGATGCGGGGTGCTTCCCGGGATGGGAACGGCTGAGGAGTCCCCGGAGCCTCCAGCCGCATCCCGGGGGATGGGACGGGCTCGGAGACACCCCGGTCAGGGACAGCCAGGCACGGGACACCGGCCGGGCCGAAACTGCAGGCTGAGCCCTGCTGCTCGTGGCAGGATGCCACCAGCTGTGCCAGCCCCACCACTGGGCCACCATCAGCAGCATGAGTCCCCCTGATGTCCGTGGTGGCCAACGGGTACCCAATGAGCCCCCCATCTCCACGCAGGGGGCAGACATTGCACCAACCACCCCCGGGGAGCCCCGAGGACCCCCCGTACCCCTGGCCGAGCCCGGAGGATGAGCAGGCCCGGCCTGCAGCCCCGTCCCCGGGGAGCCGCGGGGCTCGGCGCTCGCTCCGGCATTTCCGCCGGCAGTGGCAGGAATGCGGTGGTCACGGAACAATGCCGGCACCTTGCGCCGGTCCCTCGGTGGCGGGAGCAGCTGCCCGGGCACGGCCCCGCTCTCAAGGAGCCGGCAGGAAGCAGATGGAGATGACACCGGCGGCCGTTTCCTGCGGCAGGACGCGCTGGCTTTCTCCCCCGCCGCTCCACCGGCCAAACCCGCGGGACCTGGGGGCCACGGGCATCGCTGCTCGGGCTTGCAAAAGCCCCGTGCCACGGCTGGCACCAGCCCCTGCTCCGTGCCCACCCCTCCGGCTGCACCATCCCCCCGTGGCGTGTGCCAGGACCCTCCACCCAAGGGGCGACCACGCTGGGCTGCAGGTTGCCCACACGTCAGGAGCCTGCAGGCTGGACCAGCAGGAACCAGGGGCAGGGGACCCTCTGCCCCTGCCCCCCAGCTCTGCCCCACACGCTGTGGCAGAGCCCAAGGGAGGACTGGGCTGCCTCCGGAGGCTCCAGCCCCTCAGAGCGAGCCCTGGCCAGGGGGCTGGGGGAGACGGGGGGGTCACGCCACAGCTCTGTGTCCTGGGGTGCTGCAGCCACCCCCGGGGGGGGGCAGGCTCGGTGTGAGCACCCCACACAGCCCCACAAAACCTTGCACAACGGAGGTTTATTTGGAACGAACGGTTTCCCAATAAATTACGTCATTTAAAAATTTTAACAAAAAGAAAAAAAATCAAAGTCACAAGGCGGAGGAGCCCCCAGCAGCTCGGCCAGTGCACGGGGACCACGGAGCCATGGGGACCCCGGGGGCTCCGGCACCGCAGCCCCCCCCTCAGCGGTTCTGAGCCCTGGCCCCAACAGGCAGGACTGGGCTTAGTGTTTTGGTGGGACCAGTCAGTCCCCGGCCCCAGGGGTGTCCCCTCCCCTGCTGTGTGACCCTGGCACTACAGACCCCCCAAACAGCAACCCCACACACCTGGGTGGATTTCTGGGTCATTTCCTCCCCCCCCACCATCTCCCCCCAGCCTGTACCCTCTAGTAGCACCCCGGGGAGGGGAAGGACAGCATCCAACATCACCCAGCCCCGGTCTGACCCCCATGTCTCTGCCAGCAGGGCTGGGACAGGAGCTGCCACACACAGGGACATCCCTGGAGCCCCCAGGGACAGCCCCCCAGCTCAGCACTCTGCCTGACCCCGGCCCATCCATGTCACCCACCACCCCCGTGTCCCAGCAGGAAGCTGGGGGACAGGGAAAGGAGAGGAGAGCCAGGCTGGGGTGGCAGGGGCAGAAGGCTGGGGGTGCAGGGACAGACCCGTGTGCCGGAGCAGGGGGGAGGATGACGCCCCACTGCAGGGGAGAGGCCACACATCTCTACAACCTTCCGGGGACAACCACCGTCCAATTTCAGAGCACAGTGACAGGACATCAGCGCTGGCTGCGTGGCAGAGGTGACAGATGGCCAACACCAGTCCAGGGCAGAGCACGGGGCTCTCACCAGTACAGTCAGTGCACACCAGCACGGCTGGCACAGCAGGGACACCGCCCTCCAGCCTCCACCCTTCCCCGCCACGGCTCTGGGGAGATGGGGGTGAAAAGGAGAGAGAAGCGTGACACGGGGAACTGGTGACACCGCCACAGGAGGATGGGGCCACTGGCACAGTGCTTGGGTATCAAGGGATCCACCCGGGGAGAAAGCAGGAGGCTCCTGTGGTGGATGGCAGTGCAATGAGTGTGCAGGTCCTCTGCGGCGCGGGGCGGAGCGGTGGGAAGGAGAGGGGAACACGTCCCTTCCTACTGTAAACACGGCACTTGGAGAAGCTCAGAGACTTTTACCCTTCTAGAGCTGTCAGAGGCCCAGCCCCAGCGCGAGGCTGGTGGCACGGGCCCCAGCTTTGGCACTCGGGCAGGAGTCACTCCTCGTCCCCGGCGAGCAGGAAGCTGTAGAGGAAGTTGGTGGCACGCTGACGGTCCTGCTGAGTCTGCTTTGCCATCAAGTTGGGTGGGGGGCGCAGGAGGAGGCTGGAGAACAAGGCGGCTGTGGACAAGGCAAAACTTGTGAGGACCAGAGACCTTGGAAGGTGCCAGGAAGGGGTTACACGTCGGTGAGGGCAGGAGCAGAGCAGCCACACACTTACCGATCATGGCCACGCTGACTTTGTTGTCTTCTGAGTATTTGAGCAGCTCCCGGAGGAACGACATCAGGTACCGGAACACGCTGCGATGGCAACGAGGCAGCTGGAAAATCACCTGCAGAGAAAAGGCAGAGAGGAAGCTCTCCTGGCTCCCATGGCTGCAGCCGGGATGCCAGCCAGGCAACTGCCCCCCTCCCGCGGCCTCGAGGCTGCTGCTGCGGGACCCCTGGCACGAGCCACGAACCCAGAGAGCGAGCACCAAGCCCCCAGCTGTAGCCCAGCGCTGATGGCACTCGTGGGCTTTGGCTCCTGATGATGCTGCCTCCAGGGAACTGGCACCCGGCAAAAACCACCACCGCCGCGGGGATGCTCCCAGTCAGAACCCAGCTCTCACCCTCCTGCCTGCCCAGCAGCACGAGCACAAGAGGTTTCCTGATTCCAGTACTTAAAACATGCCCCAAAACGTCAGCTTCTACCCAAGGACATGCCTGGCCTTGCCTGCTGCCCCAGCAGCTCTTTTTAAGAGCCACTCAGCCATAATCCTGAAGGGAAGCCCAGGAACTGCAGCCCTGAGCAGGTCCTTAAGCCCCTGAGACCAGCAGAGGCTCTTCCACTCCTTGGGGCTGCTACTCCCCGTGCGCTCAGGGTGACACAGGGCGCTCTCAGGGTCTCTCTGGAAGCCCCCAGGACTGCTGGGGGACAGGGCAGTGCCAGCCTCGGGGCAGGAAAGCATTGCCAGAGCACCCAGCTCACCCCAGCCACTGCAAAGAACCTCCAAGTGCCAGCTCCCAAAGGCCCTCGGGAAGGGCTGGGACCCCGCAAACCCCCGGGCCCAGGCAGAGGTGGCCAGGGCAGGGAGAGCCATGCTGGGCCAGCAGCGAGCGGAGGCGGAGGCCACAGCGAACCTGTCGGCAGAGGCGGCTGCTGTGTGACCAGTCGAGGCAGCGCTGGTACAGCTCGTAGCAGATGACGGGCTCCGGCAGGGCCTCCAGGAAGATGAGGAGTGCTTCAGCCACGGAGTGGTTACTGCCCGCTGCGGCACCAGGAATGAAGGAGCATGACCCAGCAGATGCACCACCACCCTCCCCAGCCTGCTGCCTGCCTCTCCTCCTCCTCCTCCTCTCTGCTTCCTCTTTGCAGGTCTTGCAAGTTCTCCACCTGCCATCCCACTCCCTGACACCAAAGCTCTCCTCCCCTGTTGTCCCCCCAGCCATGGAAAATGCCAGCCACTCTGCACCACACTTGCCCACCTTCTAGCCCCACAGAAGCCCTCTGCTCCATTAGCCTTCTCCAGATGGCACTGCCCTGTGCCCACCCTCCTGGGTGGGGAGGGATCATTGGGTGATGGAATAATTGTCTAAAGGGCAATAAACTGTCATGGGTTCCTCAAACCATACCAAGAGGTTATCTCTGGGGGCAGAGGGCAGCCAGCCCCCCAGCAGGGTTTCCCCCCAGCTAACGGTCATGGACAATTCCCAGAGGGAGCTCTCCCAGCAGAGCCCAGACCCAGCAGGCTCCCGGGAACAGCAGGCACAGGAAGGATACGGATTGTCTCTGGGATACTGGTGTCCAGGCAGTCAATGATCTGCTCCAGCTCTTCTTGCATCCCTGGAGTCTGGAACAGGTCCTCCTGCCAAAAAACACCACAGGGATGGACAAAGTCACCTTCCTGGCAAAGGCTGAGGCACAGTGACAGCAGGTGAAGCTGGGACCCCCAGCCGGTGCCTCAAGCCCAGAGAAGCCCTGTCCTGAAAATACCAAACTGGAGGTATCTCCAGCAATAAAGTAAGTCACCAGGCTCCCCAGAGCAGCAGAGCCTTCTCTCTCACCTGGTGGCAGGCATGCTTGAACAAGTGGTCCACCAAGAGCCAGATCTCCTTCGGCACCTGCAGCGGCGCCTCGCTGGTGTCCTCGCTGTCCAGGCAGCCCAGCGGCAGAACCGACTTCTCCTGGTGGCAAAGTGCACACAAGGTTTCAGGAAAACTTCAGTCCCCCTTGGTAAAGACAGTCTGGAGAGGGGAAGCAGTGGATCCCGGGACCCACCTGAGCCCTTGCTCCATCAGCCTCAGCTCCGCTCCCTCCCACTGCCCCCCAGGACAACCTGCCTGGCCCACCATGGAACGGCAGGAGGGTCTCAGCCATGCTCCGAGGAGCTCCCCATGGCCACACCAGCTCCCACAGGATGGGTCTCTCGCTGGCCAAGGTGGCCTTGTCTGAACCACAGCTCCCACCCTGTGGCCAACATGGGAGGATGGAGCATGAGGAGCCTTTCTGCGGTGGGTTCCACATCTCTGGTCCCAGCCAGCCACCAGCCCCCCTCTCCCAGCTGAGCTCCTCTGGGGACAGAGTCAAGGATAAGCCCTTCCCCACTCCTGGGTGCTCTGACCACGTCTGCCCTCTGTACTCTGAAACAGCCCAGTTTTCTAGTTTCTTTCCTCATTTTCCCAAGGAGCAGGCTCTGCTCAACACAGACTTTCCTGATGCCACTGTCACGTTTTCCCACTTACTCATGTCGAGCAGCTGATGAGCTCAACTGCTCAGAAGTCTCCATCTCACCAATCTTTAAGGGGGATTGATGGATTTTGCCGGATTTTGCTCTCACTCCGCAATTGCTCACGTTCCTGTGTGCTCCCCACAGAGGAAGCCATGCACAGCACCCCTCAAGCCCCCCGGAGAGATGGGCAGAAGCAGGAGCACAGCCCCAGGACACCAGCAGAGGAGCAGCACAAGCCAAAGGCAAAGCGTTGCGGTTCAGCTGTCACTTTACGTGACAACTGCGATGGCCGTCCCCCTGCAGCACACACAGTCACTCACCACCCGCTGGGGCAGGGCTCGGCCTCCCCAGAGACACCTCAGGTTGCCACAAGCCCCAGGGGCACGGGCAGTAGCCACGCTTGCCCCACTGCACAGCACAGGTTTGCCCCGCACACCCCCAGTTCTCCCCAGTGAGCAGGGCTGGAGCCCCTCTGCTGGGAGGGGGCTGCGAGTTGGGGGGGTTCAACCTGGAGAACCTTCTAGTCCCTCAAGGGGCTCCAGAAAAGCTGGGGAGGGACTCTTGATCAGGGAGGGGAGCCCTAGGAGGAGGGGAAAGGGTTTGACACTGAAAAAGGGGAGATGGAGATGAGATCTGGGGAAGAAACTCTTCCCCCTGAGGGTGGTGAGAGCCTGGCCCAGGTTGCCCAGAGAAGCTGTGGCTGCCCCATCCCTGGAGGGGTTCAAGGCCAGGTTAGAGGGGGCTTGGAGCAACCTGGGCTGGTGGGAGGTGTCCCTGCCCAGGGCAGGGGGTTGGAACTCGACGATCTTTAATGTGCCTTCCAACCCAAACCATTCTGTGATCCTATGATCCTATGATGGCCACGCACCTGCCTTGATTGTCCAAGCGCACAGGACAGGCCGGAAAGCAGCATGCTCGGCAACAAGCGCATTACAGCTTTGCTCTAAAGGGGAAGAGGTGAGAGCTGAGGACCCTCGGAGAGCTTAGGGCTCTTCAACAGAAGGCCCCCACGCCAGGAACCGCAGCGGCAGGACCGAGTGCTGGAGCAGCGCTTGACTCCATCAGGCAGCCCTCGGCAGGGCTGGGGGAGCTGCGGAGACCCCCAGGGCAGGAGATCCCGGTTGCTTAGAGCAGAGGAGGAGGAGGAAGCTCGGGTTGCTCGGGGAGGAGAAGGAGAGGGAGGAGAAGGAGGAGGAGGCGGCGGAGGCGGCGCTGGGCCTTGGCTTTTCCTTGTGCCAGGCCCCGAGCGCCCTCTCCTGCCGCGTGCGAGGAAGAGGAGGCAGATCCGCGTCCTCTCGGGGGGAAGCCGCTCAGCAAAAGGAGGTTCCCAGGAGGCAGGCACCAAACTGCCCCCTTCCCCGCTGCCAGGAAGGAGCCTGGGAGCTTCCTCCGCTTCAACACCTGAGTTTGGGTCCCCTCTCGGGGAGGGGACATCATTCCCTCTCCTGTTTTAACCCTGTCCCTGCACAGCCCGCCTGGAGAGGGACAAGTCCCCCACCGCAGGAACCCTGCCCCGAGCCAGCCCCAACAAGTCACCAACGCCTGAGAGAGCAGGGAGAGCAGCAGAAACCCTGCCACACACCCCAGCACCTCCGCGGGCTCTGCAAAGGGAAGATCTGGCTGCTTGGCCCTGACCCTGCTCGGGCATCGGGGGCTACGAGAGGGGCAGCCCGAGCCCTGCTGCTTGAGGAAGCAGAAGAACATCCACCTCCTACGCCAGGCCCTCCCTCGGCCTTCCACACCAAGATGGAAGGAGCAAAATACTTCAGCTTTTGAATTCAGCCCTCTCCCCAACATCTAAAGGGGGTGCTGTGGTGAAGCCCACCCTGTGTGCATGGTTAGAGCCAATTCAGATACGCCAAAGGTTGCCAATCTTTTCTGGAAATATCCGTCACTGCTGCCAGGATCAGGACAGAATTTTTTTTTCCCTCCCAAAGCAATTTTTTTGAGCTTCAAGCAGCTCAGCTGGGCTGGCCCCATCTTGGCTACGGGGTCACTTGGTGCTTCTCCGTGCTCCCATCGCCCACGGCCGCGCTAAGAGGCTTTGCTGGAACAAGGGCTCCCTCCGCACCCCTCTCCCTTCCCGGCAGGGAACGAGGCGGGGGCTCTCCCTCTTTACAAACAAGTCCCTGGTAAGCAGAGCTCCCCAGCAATGGCTTGTGTTACCTTTTCTAAGAAGCTGTCTTCTCCCTGAGAGCAGTGGGAAAGAGAGAAGAGGAAAAAGTATGGTTAAGAGAGGGAATGTAGTCTCAGATTAAGCAGAAACCTCATTTGCATTACAAGAACCCCATGAATGCTGGGGCCTTCACACATTTTGCTGACATGGCCGAAGTTAAACCTGCAGTGAGAGATTTGCCTGCCAATTAGCAAAAATCCTGCTCACATGATGCACAACCTTGTCCGGATTTCTCCAAACTGCTCAGAGGGGCCTTGCCCCAGCACCGTTCCAGCAAACAGTCGGGCCACAGGCAGACGAGAGGTGTCCGCCGGGAAGAAGTTCCCCTTCCTGAATCTTCCCGGTCAGAAATAAACATCCCCGTATTATTTCAGCCATCTTCCCTTGTGAGCAGGCCAGAGATAAAACATTCACTAGGCTAAATCTGTGTTTCTGAGTGTGTGGCAGCTGCGGAGCTACCAGGCCCCCTAAGCAGCTTTGTGTAGAGTCAGGGAAATGAGTGTTTGTGCTCAAAACCCCCGGCTGCTCTGTCTCACCCTAATAGCATTAACACTGCGAGGAGGGGCACGGCAAAGCCCCCTGCGGGCTGCCTGGCCAATCCCTCCGGCCATCCCCACACACGGCATCCGCTCACGGGCGCGGTGCGGGCTGGCAGCACCCGAGGCCAACAGAGGGGTCCGCAGGAGGACGCAGAAGCAGGCTGCCTGAGCTGAGTTTTGGCAGATCCACCTTCTCAGGGTAGGAGGAACCGAAAGGCACCCAAGGGCTGAGCTGGAAAGGCAGCAGGCTGGGCACAGGACGTGCCTGGGAGGGAGCAGCACCGCGGGCTGCCCTGCGGCTCTTCCAGCGCCGGCTGCCGTCGGAGGCTCTCAGATCTTACACAGCCACAACAGACCGGCCTCTCGCAGGGAACAGCTTGCTCCGAACAGGAGCTGGCGCGGGTTCTTCCTCCTCGGCACAGGGGGAGGGAGCGCAGTGACAGGTTGGGGACGGCAGAGCCACGCCGCAGTTTCGTAACCGGGGTGACTCATCCCAACAGCGGCACCACCACCCACCCGGCTGCTGCCCCGCTCCTCACCTCTCCTCCCGCAGCCTGCAGCGCGACCGGCTCCCTCAGACTCACCTGCTCCTGACACAGAGGCTTCAAGAGGCTTTTTAAAACCCTCAGCAGGGTCCCAAGGAAAAAAAAAAAAGATGTTAATACTGAAATCCCAAAGCCGAGATGCTCAAGTGTCAGCAGCTTCTCCCAGGAGAACCAGGAGAGCCATTTCCAAGCAGGCTCCCACCTACACTTTGCTGTCCTGCCTCAAACCACCTCTCACACCCACTCCTGACCTGCAGTCCCCAGGTCTCCCTCTGCTGAAGACAAGGGATACAGCCCGGCCAGGCTGAGAGAAACGCTTGGTGCAGTGAATGATGAGCCCTAACACTGCAGAATGCAGGAGAGGAGACAGTTCTTAATACAGAAACTCACCGCCCTCCTCTAAACACCGGGTAAAGACTGGCCCAAGCGGCTCAGAGCGGGGAGCGCGGGCACCTCTCCCTGCCAGAAAGCACTCAGCTCGTCCTGTCTTCAAGAACCTCTCAGCTCAAAACCAAGGACTAAAATAGCTGAAGCACCACAGTACCTTTATAATCTAAGGGACTAAATTTTGTCCTGGGCTGTTACACATCGTACTCCTGGAGCTCGCTCAGCGCGTTCCCACTGAAGCCCCCGCAGCCACACGGACCCCACCGACACCCGGGGCTGCTCCTCTGCGGCAGACACCGGGACAGAATGCTCTTCTCAGAGTGTTTTGCTTCCTGTACGTGTGTGTTTCACTGAATAGCAGAAGGAGGAAACCTACAGGTAAAGGAAGCCAAGAAAGCCTCAAAGTACGCTTCGCAAAGTAACGGCGTGTGTCTGTGAGGGCAGAAGCCAAGAGTCAGGCCCGAGTTCCTGTCCATCAAGCAAGAAGTGAGTGCTGAGCCCTGAGCAGGAAAAAGCAGGGGGGAAAGCCACTGAGACTGACAAAACACTCCTGATCAAGTTCAGCACATCCCTAGAACAAGACTGACTAAACCTCAGGAACTGCAAAACCTCAGTGAAGCCAGGCCAGGAAAGGCTATCAGAAGAGAGGAATGAACCCAGGCTGTAAACAAGGATTAAGACCCCCAAAATGGGGTTTAATCTCAGAAACAGTCATGAGATACCAAAAAGACAAAAGGTGACCAGGGCACAGCTGCCCCCCTCACACACACATCCTTCAGAAGGATGAGTATCGACGCCGTGGCCAGTGGAGCTCGGGGAGAGGAGCAGTTATCTGCACGGCAGGAGGGCCTGCTCACTGCAGCCACGGTGAGCAGAACCGGCCAGAGAGGCTGTGGGACCGGCTGTTTACAGAGCTGTACCCAGAGACACCTAACGGCATCAAAGTCCCCTCCCTGGTCCTCCTGCTTCTGCTTGTTCTCTCCCCTGAGCAGTGCGAGTCCCACCAGCGTCCAGAGAAGGCTCCTGGAGCCCACATCCTGCAGAAGCAGCCCAGGCACCTCAGAGGAGAGCACTTCCATCACACCTCCTGGGACACACCAGTGCCACCCAGCTGAGCCTGCCAGCACCAGCGTGGCAGTAACACAAAACACAAGGTGCTGGGATCACGGTTTTTCCCCACCAAGCCATATTTAGAACCTACTCAGAAATAGGGGATAAAGAACAGGCTGTGAGAAGCCACGGGTTGTGGTGGAAGGAGATAACTGAGCACCTCAAGCTCTGGAAAATTAAATCAGGTCAGAACCAGTGCAGCTGACGGGAGCTGAAGGCACTACTCCTGCTTTTAGGAGTAAGGAGAAGGGAATACCTTCTAAGAGAGCGTCCCCAGAACACTGCTACTCACCAGGTCAATGAGTTTTGTGACTGGAACTTCTCGGATCGGTCGCCTCATTCGACACAAGGCCTCCAGGGAGGTGCCGAAGCAGCTGGGCAGGTAGGTCCCACTGATGGTGAGGAAATAGTCCTTCCCTCGGTCCAAGTGAAGGACAAGAATATCCTCGATCTTATCCTCGCCCAAGTTCAGAAGGGTTACCGAGTCCTTACTGACATACACGTCCAGGGAGATGTCTGTGCTCTCATCTGCAACAGAGAGGGGCTCTCAACAACACACAGACACTCTCCAAAAGGAGTGACAAGAACACATACACAGTGGCAGGGACAAAGGCCACAAAACTGAGAAGACAAACAGACAAAGATGACGGGAATAAAGGTGAGACACAGGAAAGGTGGGAAGGACCGAAGGGAGATGGGGAGACCGTTTACACCAGTACACACTCTAGAAACCAGGGTAAAACTCACCTGGCTCCAAGTACCCTTCACAGGGCTCGGCACGAAGCCATGGCTTACAGTAGTGGCTGTCATTGAGCTTTGGGATGAAGGAGAAGTGACAGGTGACCTGCCCATTATTAGTGATCTGGAACTTCTGCTTCTGTAGCTGACGGAACTTCACATTCTTAAACTCGAACTGCAGAGCACAGAGAAAACACAAACCACGTCAGTGGCTGGGCCAGGACACCCAGTGAGACACCCAGACCCTGCGGGGACAACCCACGGCTGAGAACCACCCACACAACCCAGCAGTTCTGACAGAAGACCTGCCAGCAGCCCAAGAGGTCTCTTTTATCCAATTCCTGATTACAAAATAATGGATAAAGCTCCATTTTCTATAACCAAGTTTACTGAATCAAAGTCTCTAGCAGTAGTTCTAGCACTTGTAAGGCTGCTGTGCTTGGGAAGTGGACAGTGAGTCAGTTTCATCCTCACTTCTCTCCTGCTTAGCTCCAGCGAGGGAAGGAAGTCATTCTCCATTCTGTCCATTAGACGAACGATGTCTTCAAACGACTTCCGATACTTCTGCTCATCCACAACCTTTACCTGTGGTAAATCAGGCAACAATCAGCAGAGTTTCTGACCAGCTTCACAGGAACTCTTTCGAACACGAGGAAATTGCAGAAGTGAAATACGTCTCTAAGCACCAGCTACGTGCAGCTGAAAGGTGAGGAGAAGTTGCACGCATGGGTGCACCTCCAAGCTGCATATGCAACTTTAGGTATATTTTACCCCTACAGATGTTACTAGTGTCTTTCTGGCCACTGGTCACACTACTGGGACATTACAGGGGGTGATCTCTCTGGGACAGCATTGGAATCCCCCAGCATCACTCATGGTTCTCCAGAGGAAGAAGAGAAAGGCCCTTCTTTATGGAGACTGGAGCTACCAGGGAGCAGGAGGCAGCAAAACCATTTAGTAACATGGGAAACCCAAACCTGCTGCCAAACCTGTCGCCACCACAGCAACGCAGACACAAACCAGCCACACACTCTCTTAACACATCAGAGCCAACACCGGAAGAGCAGGCACAATGTTTTACAGGTTTCTGCTGAGTCTCCTTGCGGAGGAGAGAGTAGCTCACCCATTCTAGTACCAGACATCACGGGTTATACCCCAGAAGCTCAGCAGCATCATTAAAGCAGTGGATGGAAATGCCTTTCTCTTTACTACACGACCCGCTCCTGCTTGGGTAAACTCCAGCATTACTGTGGTGTAACTCTGTCCTGGTGCCAGACAGCTCAGCACACCCACACCTACACCAGGGACACACCTGAGTGTTGTTCACTCTGTCCTCTTGCAACAGCACCAGCAGAGGTGCCTGGATGGTGTAACCGCCTCCCGAAGGAACGCAGGGTGACACTGGGACTCTGCCCTAGCACATGAAAACAGTTACCCCGATGTGGAAGAGCGCGCTGACGGGTTTGTGGTCACTTGTCTTCAGGTCCATGTGGCTGCAATATCGGAGCTGATTGATGTTCCCTCCTCTCCAGAGGATTCGATCACACCACGCTGGCACACGGCACTTCCCACTACAAAGGAAAACAGGTTACCAGGGAAATCCAACAATCCTAATAAACCACCCAAGCTGTTGCTCTTCCCAGCCAGGCTGCTCCCTCCACCCCTCCATCAGCAGCGATGGGATGAGCTCCCGTCACTTCCCTCATCTTCAATAGTGCCTTGTTTCTCCTGTTCTCTTCCCCTTTCCCTACACAGTAGCTGAAATTCTCATCCTTTCCAGCATCAGGAAACAAAATAAACTCAAACAAGACTGTTTCCACAGCCTGAAGCCATGTGTACGGTGACCCAAGCTGCACCAGTTCCTTTTGCTGTCAGATCTTTCTGCCCGCTGCAGCCGGATCCATGGGTTATTGTTCCCACTACGGAAAGTCGACTCAGCTATTGCTATTATGTTATGGAGACTGAATCCCGGGTTATCCTTCTCCAGATTAACTGCTGTGCTGATTCAAAAACACAGGCAGAGTAAAATCCCATGGCTATATGGTTTGAAACTCCTTCTTGGGAGTTTCTCCATTTAGAACACTCTTCTACAGCGGATGCCCAAAGGTCCGTGGGAGGCAGCGAGGAGGAACAGCCACCCCGGCGGGTGTGCGAGTCAGGGGACAGCGTGACTCACAGACAGCGGGCCCTTAGCTCTTCAATTCCTTTTACACTTCAATTACTTTTACACTGTTGTTTGTCCCTGGTAGCAGAAAAACCCCTGCAGAGTAGGGTCACCTGCGAGTTCACACCTCACCCGCCCTCGTTTATTGGACCCAGCAGCTGCCGAGGTGTGAGGCACGTGCCCGGCCGTGCACACAGGGGCTGCTCATTGCAGAAGGGAGGGGAAGGAAGGAGCACAACCTTCTGTGCACTCCAGCCACCACCATAACACCGAGAGGCATTTGCAGCTCTGGGAAGCAGGAAATACAAGTTTTGTGAGAAAATGCTTTTTATGTCATAGGAAACATATCCATTGGCAGATGAATTACCTGGAGTCCCAGCGATCTGTTTTAGAGTCATACTTATATGTGGGGATGAATTTAATCTCTCCCTCGGTGAAGTCTGCAAATGCTTTCTTATGAGTGCGCTGAATATTCAGCTAAAGCAGAAAAAGAACACTTCAAATAAACAAAACCAACAAACCACCCCAAACACCCCCCCACCCCGCAGTGTCAGAGCAACCACAGTCTGTGGCCGTGGGGTTCACCAGACCCCCCCAAACTGCCTCTCACTCCTTACGCCTCCAGCAAAGGTAAAGACTCAACCCATGAGTGGAATGTTTTCTGAACAGACTGAATACACACTGGCACAGCGCTGCTTACCAGACCGTGCAGACCACATAGAACAAGAGTTAAGGGAAATATTAATTGCTCTGCTTGTGCTAACTGCCTTCATTAGTTTTCAGGCTTAAGCATCACCATCATTAACATTTCACTGCCAATCATTTTAGCAAAAGCCTCCAGGAGTGCACTTGGCTGACAACTTCACACTGCCCTTCTTTCCTCACTTAGTTTTCCGAAAAATTTCCTATCTTTTTTCCTCACAAAACTCTAAGCTACAGTTGTTTCCTGCATGAAGCTCCGCAGCACAGCAAAAATGAGCTCCAGAAGAGAAGCCATCAATCAGACTGCCTGTTCAATTGTGTGTCAGAGATGATAGTACACTATCTCTGTTCATGTTCCACAGGTACAATCCTTCATCTTAAAGGCACCTCTGGTGCTGCCTCGGGTTTTGATGTGTGGCAGAGAAGCGCTGCACGGGACAGGCCACGGCACAGAATTTAGGTCAAACAGGGTGAGCAGAGATGGGCACTGCTCTCCAAATCAATACTGCTCCCAGAACACCGATTCCAGCAGCTCTGGGGCTGTTACATGCTCCTATGTTCTAGCTTGTAAGAGAGGACTCTTCCAATGAGATGCAAAGACACTTCAAGCCATGGGGTTAACCCCAGCACCACGTACAATCGAGTTGTGTTCAGGGGTTTGATGTCACCCAGAGCTCTGCCGAGGGGCTAGTGTCTGTGGACAGGCATCTCAGAGTGTCCATCAGCTCCTCCCGAGCACAGGCACGTCTAAACCACAACAGCCTCGCGAGTTCGGAGCGGACGTCAGGGGAGTTCACTCACCTGGTCGTACGTCAGCAGCTTCTGGAGCTCGTTCTTACTGATGAGGCTTTTCACTTCACTGGCGTCAGGGAGACAGAGCCTGTAGTTGAGGTCTCCCAGCCAGATGACAACACTGAGAACGAGGACAAATGTGGAAAAGAAGAGGCAGCAGTTAGTGCCACAGGCTGTGCGGGGAGGAAGGGGCAGAGGAGAAGAGAAGGTTGGCTGCTGGTGATTGAGGCTGAGACACTTGGAAGACCAAAGGAGATGTGAAGGATCGAGCCTGACAGCAGAAATTTCCAGTGGGAGCAGATCCTACAGTACTGAGTCCATCTCCTTGGGAATCCCACAAGGGATCAGAGACTTAATGGGAGATACTTGAGTTTGCCTCAGTCTGAAAAACAGCTAAGAACGTCACCAAATCTAACGAGGGAAACCAGAGCATCTTGCCAGGCTCCACAGCCTCTCAAATGACCCAAACCCCATCCGTAGCCAGGCTCTTGTGTACACAAGGGGCGATGGCAAAGCTCGCCAAGCAGGGCCTGCTGCTGGTCAACCAGTTGGGCAGGATGACGTGTGTGATACCTCCTGCCATACTGTGGTTTTACCAGTTTGTTTCCCGCTGCCTTTCTTTCAACGACCTCAGGCCTCTGCTCCATCATCGCTCCTTACAGGGGCCAGCCCAGCCCAAACCACACCAGCAAAGGCTGACGGATGCAGGATTGGCAAAAGCAGAGCTGGTTCCTGCTGAGTTTATGACCTCCAGAACTCACTGTCCCACCCATCTCACCCGTCAGCCATCCCTCACTCCGCTCCTCTCTGCGCCTTCACACAGACCTGCAGCAGCCAAAGAAACACTTCTGCTGCTCGCTCTTCACAAAGGTTCCATTTAAAGATTAAAATCTAAACCCCTCTCTAGTATCAAAGCTCTTCCTGTTTACAGTCAAACCTCAAAATTTCCATTAGTGGATTATCAAGGATAATCTAATATTTGAAGCTTTTTTCTGTGCTAATCCACTCTACATTTTATTTTCAGTTTTTAAATGGTTTAAATACTAACTACAGAAGAATTCATTGATTGTATCAGGTTATAAAAAAAATAATTTATATTCTTTGTTGTACACATGTTTGAGTTTGATTTAGATTATTCAGCACCGCTGTCACCTGCTATCCCTTCTCTCCCCCTACTCATACTCCCACTTCCCATCACAAAAGCCCCCCGAGTTACTTCAGGCCATGTACTGTCCAGCGCTGACGCAGCACGGTGCTGCTGGACCGAGGTGTCAACACAACGTGCTGTGACAGACAGGCTGCCCCCGTCCCCGCAGGGACAAGGTGACCACGCGGTCCGGCTGCTGGAGCTCCAGCACAACACATTTGGGGTTTTATTGTATTAAGCCAGAAAAACTTATCATCTGCACAAAATCTCCTGCTGCTGTGGTTCTCACTTGATATGGATTATTCAACACCACTTCAAAAGGGGAAAGAGCAAATTCAACTCACTCGTGTTTCATGATGTGGAGGGGAGGTAGGCTGTCGTCGGGGGGTACAAAACTCATCCGAGCACAGATGTCCTTATAATCCTGATTTCGCCGCTCGAAGTCCTCCACGTGAGCCGCGAGGTGGGAATTGACGATGCAGAAGGTGGTGTTGTGGAACACGAACCTCACGGCCACACCACCCTTGTTGCCCTGGGGAGAGCGGGTGTGAGCGCTCGTTAGAGGAGACATGGATGGCAGGGACAGGGGACCAAAACCAGAGGGTGCCCTTTCTTGCAGGGATACACAGAAGGAAGGGATCGGCCTCGGTCACTCACCATCTTTCCCATGATTCCTGTACCCACAGAGTCTGTCATGATCTCCCTGATATTACTCAGCTGATCCTTCTTAGCAAATATCAGCAGCATCATCCCAACGAGACGGACCATTTGCACCTGCAAAAATAAAAGAGATCCTGAGTCCCAGAACGGCAGTTCCGATCTGCCTGCTCCGCCTGATGTTCTGCTTCTCTCCCTCTCCCCATTCCTCCTCAGGTTTTGTACTCAATCCCTGCCTGCAACACCACCCAAAGCACCTCCTGTCCCAGAGCAGGGTTCTGGGGGACAATCTGTCATCCCCCAATGGCCACCCGCTGCACCGAGCTCACTGCCCTCCCCACTGGCGCTTCCCAACAACCAGGGCTGGCTCATGGCGTAACAGACACTGCACCAACACGGAGCGGATCTGCTCATGACACCTCAGCCTTTTGCTCCAAGCAGCAAAACCAGAGGTACACACACGCCGAGTGTAACACACCCTTGGTTTCTCCAGTCCCTGCTCTGGGTTCAGGTGAGGATGGGGGAAGCCCATTTCTGTTTCCCTTCCAATCACACCAACTCCGTGACAAACCCCCCAGCACCCAACAGAACTCACTTTCTTGTATTTCGCCTGAGGGTGCAGGGACTTCTCCACTGCAACCAGCCACTCCTGCTCCTTTGCAGAATCAAGGTAGAAGAAAGCCTCTGTGCTGAGGTCCAGCTCCTGGAACCTAAAAACCCAAGCCAGGTGAGCACATCCCCCTCTCCTACCCATCACCCTCCTCCTGCAGGAAGGTCCAACGTGAAACCCCTGGCAACGGCTCTTCTTGGAAGAGAAGCTCCTTATTGCCACTTGCTAATAAGGCAGCAGAATTTCACCACAGGGCCTGTGTGCGCCTGTTGCAACACACCCCAGCGGCCATCTCTTGGAGAAGCATTACTTCAGGCTGAGGACAACCAGAGAGCTCTGAGGAGGCCTCGAGCAAAATCTATCTTGTTCCATCCTGCCAGCCTCCTTTAACCCAATACTCTGCCTCAGCCAAATGGCTCTTTCCCCACAGACAGCTCTTCTGAGACAGAGCTCAGTTTTGTGGAACATCGGAAAAAGTTACAGGAACTTAAAATAGATAGAGCCCACCAATATCCAGGCAAGATCAACAAGAAACCCAGCACCGTGAGTAAAGGCGAGGCCACTGCTGCTCACCCGATGCAGTAGAAGTCCGGGGGGTCCATGTCACACACCAGCCAGGGCTCCAGGCTGCTGTCTGGGGACTGCCCGTTCACGTTCCACGTTCCCACAAAAAATCTATGACACAAAAGCAGCTGAATTTTTAGAAAGCACAGTCACTATCACCACACCAGCCCAGTCTCTCCAGTGCCTGCCCTGCAGACACAACACGCGAGCCGGCCGCACGCTGGCCAGGCCAAGGATGGGGCAACTGACAATTCTTCTGGGCTTGGCCCGTTGTCAGGGACACTCGTGTCAGGGATTTTGCAGAATGTTCCCAAACTAAAGACATTTCCCCAGGGCCAGTGACTGTCTGGCTCGTTAACATCATGTCACACAGGGCAGCACTAAGAGAGTGCGGTGGGATGGGTGCCTTCATCCTCCCTCTGCCCAACTGCTTCGGTCTTACTTGTGGGTCAAGAGATCTGACCCACAGAGGGGAAAAGATGTGGAAAGAGGAGCTGCACTGCAGGCACTTCTCGACTTCCAGCCCGCAGCAATGCTGGTTTAGCCACCCAAGCTGGCCACGCAGCAGCACGTGTCACATCTCAAACCCGGGCCAGCTGGAGTCACAGAAGAGACTGACCAGCGTTATCCCCAGGCTCAGCGCTCCTCAGCCACAGCACTAACCTGAAGTTGTGGATGTTGACATATGTCTTCTCTCTCTTGGCAAGCAGGTGCCTGATGAGACCTTCTCTCTGTCCCGACTGGGTGCTGGGCAGAAACATTTTGCGCATGGTGTTGGTCACTTTTGGCTGGTCTCTGGATGTACCTTCTCTCTCTCGGTGAAATCTAAGAAGGAAGCAAGAGCAGAATTAGAACTGGTTCTGCTGTCTAGGAAGAGAAGGGAAAAAGGGAAGAGACTCGCCACGTTACTTACGGCCTGGTCTGGGGCACGGGAGGAGGGGGGGGCTCCCGGCGAGATCCCGTTTGGTGGTTTTGCATGTTTCTTCTCTCTTCGAGGCTCAGAGTGTTGAAATCATCCTCAAACTCCAGAGCTCCTGTAACGAAACAAACAAGCACAATGCCCTGAGAAACAATTTAAAACAGCTCAGATCGAGAAGTAAAAAATGTAACTCCGCAGAAAGTGAAAGAGCAATACATCAACTGTGATGACTCTGGGAAAGGGGCAGTAACCACAAGTCAAGGTAGGAGGGAGTTTAACATACACAAAGCAAGGCACCCGGCAGAAAACAACACTCAAGAAGGAATGAATGGTTCAGGGCAAGAGAATCCAAGGATGAGACGTATATTTTGTGCAGGGCACCAGGAAGGGAGGGAACGGGGCAGAGGCCAGAGCAGCGAGCGCAGGGTGGGACACGGCTCCCTGCCCCTCCCTGCCCCGTCACCCTGCAGCCATGGAGCACACAGAGGTGACAGCCGGTGCCGTACCCGAAGAAGAGGCCTGCGACAGACCTGGGAGGTTCTTCTCCACCTGGCACCGGCCGGCCAAGTCCTTAGGGTTGGGAAGAGCACCTTTCAGGTGGGCTGGGGGGAAGAAAAAAAAAATCAGCCCTGTCAGAAACTGCTGGCAGTGGGAGGATTTCACAAACACGACCGTAGCTCTGCCTACCTTCCTGTATGCTCTGCACTTCCGAAAGGAATCCTAGGCAACGCTCCTCATCGGGGATCTCAAAGAGCCGCTCCACCGTCTCGTCCCCTTGTATCCGGACCTTACAGCCTGCTTTGGGCACAAACACGCTCACGAGTCAGTCAGGGCTGGGTCACAGCCACCATGCCCCGAGAGCGACCAGGCTTTCTAGGAATCCTTTGAGCTCATCAATGAAAGCCACCAGCTACTGTTCCTGATGGAAACCTGCACCTAAAGTAGTTCCCAGTGCTTCTGAGATCCCCCTGCGTCACCCCACCTCCCTTGGAACATCATCAGTCATGTTTTCCTGGGTTTAGGAATACTCCCTGCTGCGACCTCGGAGACAAGAGCTCTAATAGTAAGAAAAAATTGTTGGAAGGGAAAGCAGAATGGGTGACCAGAGAGAGCACTGCGAACACTGGGAAAGGCAGAGAGTAGCCCAGTCTCAAGGACAGGTCAGAGAAATGGAAGGGAGATGGGAACGGTTCAGATGCAATGCAGGGCCTCCAGAAAAAATTTAAGGAGTTCAAGGTTGACCAACTGCCAATGGTTCAATCTGGGCGTTTAAGACCATGTCTGTCACGAGAACTGACTGACTAAAAGAGCCAGAAAACAGCCTTAGAGGAAATACAATCCCTGCTCGACCAAAAGACAGACACAAAGCACGGAGGGAGACTACGAAGGGGTCAGTCAAACATGCAGGTGTCAGTGCCCAACAGGCAGCCTGGCTCCTGAGAGGAGCTTCAGCCACGCGACGGCACGAACAAAACTTACTGTTTGTAGCTATATCAATCAGTAGAGTTTCCTCTGCCTCTGGAAAAGAGAAAAACAGGATCTAGAGCTCACCCTCAATGCCGCAGTAACTCACTACTCAAAACAGCCTGCTGCCTGCTACCAGCCACAGAAGAGTCCTAATGAAGGAACAAACAGCTTTAATTTACATCTGTGCTCCTAATGGCTCTGGCAGAAAGAAGGGTCGTGTCTGGACAGCCACTTCCCACAGCCAAAGTGTCACAGGGGACATTCCCAATATTCGGAGCTCTCACACACCCGGATGGTTCATCCCACACCAGGGCAGCTCCTTTGGTAAAGACAACCTGGCAATGAACTTCAGAGTTGTCTGCACAGCAAAACTGACGGGGAGAACACACTGAATTACACAAAAGGGATAAACCAACCCAGGAAAAGGTGCCGTTAGTCCTGACCAAGGGTTTGCCCCAGGGACACACACCGCTATTGAAGTTCTTCCAAGACAAGGCCTAAAGCTCCTTCCCTTTCCATGGGTGGCTCTTTGACACCTGACAGCTTGCCTGACCTCACACAACTTGTGATCTAAACATGCAGGAATTGGACTAAAGCTCCCAACTCTTGCTATTACAGAGAAGACAGACAGACAGACCAGCACCCATCTGAGCTCCTCACAGCTCTGTGCTGACACGGGAAGGCTCCCCACTCGGATGAGGAAGAAGCAGGATTCGACAAACTGTGAGTTTTAGTTTCACGAGGAAGCATTCTCTCTTTATGGGTTCTCAGGAGGTAGATCAAGAAACGCTGCTAAAGCGGGGGTTTGCTGACAAATGGGGGGATTCCTGCCACCACAGGAGAGCCTGCACCAGGGGGTCAGTACCTTGCACACATTTAAAGCGGCTGTTGATGGGAATGTAATCCGGATCAGAGTTCTCCTTCTCCTGCGAATGGATGATTATCCTGGAGAGAGAAAAGGCTTGTAAAAACACAGAAGAAACAACTCCCTCCTTGTACACAGCCGAAGGCAGATATAGCCACAGGAGGGGTAATTACAGAGACACGCTGTGTTTGATCTGTGTCACTGTGCTGCTGGAACGGGGCAGGCAGAAAGGCAGAGCCGCTGGGAGCGGCGCAGGACGCGGGGGGCAAGCACCGAGCGTGCGGTGAGAAACAAACCCGCTCGGCTCTCGCTGCTGCGGGGCAGGGGCCTCGGGGCGGCTGCGGGGCAGGAGACAAGCCCGGTGCGGAGACGGGCAGCCGGGGAGCGGCCTTCTCCTCCCCCTGCCCGCAGGGAGACACCGTCACCCGCCGGGGGGAGCGCCGGGGGCAGAGCGGCTGCGGGCACCGGCTCCGTCCCCATCCCCTCTCCAGCCCAGCGGCACGGCAGTTTTTAGGTTTCCCGAGACAGCCACGGCGGCCGGGAACGGCCCGGTTCTCTTCCAGCCGCCACGCTGGGGGACCGGT